AAAGTACATTTAATATAATTTAACTATATTAATTTATTTAATTTTATAAAAAAAATATACATGAATACGTTTCTGCATTCACCTGCAACCTAGCAATACATAGCCAGACACCTGCAACAAATATAACATTATCATAACAGTAATTTACATTTTTCTCTGTTAACTCTTCTTGAAATGTTAATCGCGCTGTGGTGATTTCCATGGATTTATTTTTCAGCCAAACAATTTTACGTTCCAAAAATTTGCACCTTCTCTATCTATCTAAGTTCTCTGATGCTGGGAGCTAAGAAATAATAGCTAGCATCTCTACACGTTTAGCTACAGCCAGACATGCAAATGTACTTTCAAATGCTTAACTTCAATCACATTTCGTTAAAACACGAGCAGTGATCGGGTAACAATAAGCTGATGCAGAGACACGAGTTGGTCCGCTACAGCATGACATAGGAGCACTTTTGTAAGTACTCCAATATACCACAAATAGACTACATGGTCCAACGATTTTTGCAGGGATGTAATAAATAAGTGGGTTGTAGTGTTTTTCGTTTGAAAAGTTGCACACATATGTAGGTATGTATACATGCCTTGATATTTTTGTTACTTCTTGCCAACAAACTGATATTTTTAGTTCCTAAAAATCTATATGAAATGCAATCTCTCGTTAAAGAAGTCTCCTCGGTTGAAGGAATTATATAGAGCTATTGTTTATTTCTGAAGAAGCCAGAACTTAATTGCGTTGCAGATACATATTTCAAATGTTTAGTTATCGTAAAAGAACCTTCGTTTTTCTAGCCCTGCTCTGCTTTGGATAATTTTGCGTTGAATTAGGTACCCACGTCCAGCGAGTAGGACGTATTTAGTGCAGAAGCTCACATAACTACATACATATGTACGTACATTGCTAGTTCATCCGCAGCCTCATTTTAACCCTCATCGGTTCTTTGTATACGATCATATACGATTTTTTAATTTTACAGAAATTGTTAGAATTTTTAGTAGAAATAGTTACAAATCGGTTTTTGGGTGTACGCTCGTATACGAACCTAACTGCAACTTCTACTCAGATTCAGCCCATTCGTTTTAAGTATAAGAAAGTGCAAGTTTGAAGTTGCTAAGTAGCGTTTATTTTTTGCAATTTTTTTCACGCAGTTCAACGCGATTTTGTACCAACTTCAGACTTGCACTTTATTTTACTAAAACGAATGGGCTATAAAACTGCATATTTAGAATTTTTACAAAAAATCGGATTAGAAGTTGGGATCGATGAGGGTTAATATATATTTCCTTTTTGGTTGTTGTGTTTCCGACAGGGTGGGTTTATGATGTATTATGGATCGAATTTCCGCTATCTTGCACAACGCCGAAACCGGTTTGTCTCCAAACCAAATTTGACAAGGGATGACGGAAATTCGTTAATATATATATTAGACTGTGTCAAATAAAACGACTATTTTTTCTGTCCCATATGAAAATTTCGTTGCAGGTCACAAACAAAATAATTGTGCCAACATTTCAGCCCTCGTATCTTCAGTTAGCACAAATTATAAAAACAAGTAATTTTTAAGCCAAAAAACAAAACCGACTTCAATTCTCATTTAAAAATTTAAGACTATCGTTAATTTCTTCACGATTCAATTATCGGATCTAAACAAAATTAATATGGAACCACCTTTAAGGTACCGCCTTTCCGAAGAAAAAAGAATTATCCAAATCGATGAACGTGGTTCAAAGTTATGCGGTAACATATGTACATAAAAAAAAATAAAATAAAATTATTCCGACGAATTGATAACCTTTTCCTGTTTGTCAAGTCGGTTAAAAAATGTAGCCCATTCAATTTAAGTAATAAAGTGCAAGTTTGAAGGTGCCGCTGATTTTTGGAATTTTTTTTTTTTGCCCAAAAAAAATATATAAAAAATCAACGCGTATTCTTAGCCACTTAAAACCTGCACTTTATTATACTAAAATTTATTGCACTATAAAACTGCAAATATTTTGAAAAAATTTAATTTTGGCAAATTTTTTTTTACATTTAAACTTTTGCACTTTTCTCTAGAAATTTAAAAAAAAAATTAAATATTGGTATTTTATTTTGAAAATTTTCTTCATTTTGGGGAACCCTATTATTGCTCTAAAAAAGCTTTTATTATAAAATTTATTTACAGTAACAGGGGAATCGATTTTCTTAAAATTACTACTTACTCTGCCAAAATCGTGATCGGCGAATCTCTAAAAAATTATACTAGCTTTCATAAAAAAATATATATTTATATATAAAATCGGTTGAAAAATTAAGCCCCTACACTATTTTGTGTGCGGATTCTATCAATCTGCCCTTTTAGTAGACATGTAGATTTGAGAACGAAAGTTCTCTAGCGATTCCCCTCCGGTGCAAAAATCCTTTGAAGCAAGGGCGTCCGTAAAAACAATGGAATTGGCAAGAGCAGAATTGTCGGGCTTGCAGTTGGGATTAAAAACTTGAGAAGTTTTTTAGTAGTTTTAGTCTTAGAAGTTTAGTTTAGGATGTAGTGCCAATTAGTATAAAGAAGAAGAAGTTACGGTTCGCCGGCAGTCACGCTTGGACAGGCCTTATTGAAAGCTCAACGCAATAACTAAAAATGGAATGACAATAAAATAGAGCTGGGAGATTTATCCGGATTTTATAAATATCCCGATAATCCGGATATTCGAATACCTGATTAAAAATCCGAATATCTGGATAGGTTAGTTTTGGATGCCTGTTTCCAATCCCAGAGAGATACACACTTAGGCTCAGTTGGTTCATTTTGGTAGCAATTGAGAGCTCTTATTCGATCCCGTCTGTTCACCTAGAAGTAGAACCAGTTCGTTAGGTTAACACAGCAGAAGAATTCAAGAATGCTTGCTTCGCTTAGGTCCGCCTGACCGACAAATAGGTTATCGTTAAATGAGCGTCTTCTTGCCCATGATAGATAGGCAACACTTTCAATTTCTTCCTCATCGCGGCTGTTTCGGTAGAAGTCATTCGCCGGCAAGCCCGTTATGTCAGAATACCTTCCAATCAAAAAGTGACCCGTTACAATTACGATAACTGGCCTAAGTAGAGGGCGCTCAAACCAAATGAGTGCGTCAAATCTTTTCTTGTCAAATCTTCTCCAGATTTGTCGCGTTGTTCAGATCTTCCGATCATCTTTTATTTGCCCTTTCGAAGAAGTGTGTTTTGAGCCATGTTTTGCAGGTAGATAGAGTGGTGTGTTCGCATCGTAGGAAGAGTTGACATACCACAGGGTGATACCTTTCTTCGTCTGATGTACAGTTACTTTGTGATTTGGCATTCCACAATGAAGACAGTAGACTTTGAAGCTAGCTCGTTGAGGAGTTTTTTACATTCTATGTATAACAAGTTTTTGTGAGGTTTCGCAGCGTCCCAGTAAGTTAATAGCTGATTGGCTACTCCGAGTATATGGTAGTTGAAGGCAGATTAGGAGAATAAAAAGTGCAGCCTCTTTTATGGCCGCCAACTCCGCTTGTAAGACTCTGCAATGGTGTGGCAGCCTAAAGCAGAGGTCTAATGAGGGTACCTTCGAGTGTATACCAGTTCTCTACTCTTAGATTTAATTTGGAGCCATTTGTGTAGACGGGGATATTCGGTTAAAAAACTAGAGCGGATATTAACCGAATATTCGGTTATCAAAATTGAAGGGCTATTGATCGGATATGCAGATTTTATTCGTATACACGAATAACCGTACGGATATCCGGGTAGACGGCTAGTCCCAGCGCTACAATAACACGAAGTAAGCTGTGCGAGTTCATTCACAACTAAAACAACGAGTTCAGCGCGCGTTAAAGTCGTTAAAAGTTTTATATTCGTCACTTGGGATAACTATACAGTAACTACCAATTGTATGCATTTTTATGGTTTATTTTTATTTTTGTTTAATAAAATCTAGCGGTATTTATATGCAAACTTTTTTTCCCTCAAAACTGCACGTTTTGTCAACTTAAAGCTTCCGCGTAAATATGCAAACTGTCAAGCTAATAATTCTTTTCGAGAAATAATATTTTTTCAATGTTATTTGTTTATTTTTAATTATTGTTATTTTGAATTCGTCAGTTGCTTATTTTTCTTCTATGTATACTTATTTGTTTGCCTTACCGCCGCCGCTTTTTCATTTTTATTCATATTTTTCTGCATTTACTTAAATTTAATTACTATATTTATTTATGTTTTTTTCCTCTTTTCGCAGGGCTGCTGTCGTCACGTCCATTTTGCTTTCTCTCGCAACGAGTCAGAAAAATCGCTTGAATGCGCATTTGTTTTGACCGGCTGTGCTTCGCTACCAAGAGGCCAGCCAATACAGAGCACAGTGATAGTGAATCGCCGCATTCCCTACCGCCCGATCGATTACAGAACAATAATGAGCAAAGCAACAAGCGGAATGTCATAACGACCAAACCGTCAGCGAGTAATATACACAGCTTACAACCCGCCCAACTCACAATTGCACCTTGGCTAGTTAGCAACTACAACAGCAATAGCACAAGTAACGGTAATAGTCATACAAAGAAGAATACCACTGCACCCTTTGGGCCACGCACAACACTCAACGGTCTAGATCCACCGAGCCGTGCCGTCCTGATATCATCGACAAATCTTAACGGCACACAAACTGCAACAGCTACACCAACACCGCCACCACCACCCACCAACGGCAACAACGCCCTATACGCAAATTTAGCTGATTTAGCGAGTAGTACGTCAACAGCAATTACAGATTCTTTGGCGGCGTCCAGCGCAATGCGCCAAACGTCAACAGTCATTATTGGGAAAAAATCAACAACCACAAATAGCTGCGGTGCGCGCGAAGACGAGGAATATAGTCAATTTAATTATAGTACAGACAGTGGCATTGGCAGCAGTTTAAGAGGCAGCAGCAGCCGCCACAACAGACAGCGCCTAGCGAAAACAAACAACGACGCGAGCGAACTCAGCGAAAACGAGGTGCGAGAAAGAAGCTTCTCCAACGCGCATTTCGACCCGAACGCCTCCACAGCCACCTCCACAAGCAGCGCCACAACCAACGTATCTACCGTGAGTAGCGTTGCGTTTCTGCGTCACGGTGCGGACAACGTCACGGCCAACGGCGTTATCGCTAGCAAAGAGACGAGTACAGCATACAAAGACACCGACGCACAGCCAAAAGCAGCGTCAGCGGAAGAGATAGAGGCAAACGGCGAGCAATCGACGAACAAAATAGCCGCCACCATGCAGCAGGAGCCGAACGCCAATTTTCAGTTCCAACCCGATCTGGGACTGGTGAACGGCAATAATTTGCCTGCGCTCACCGGACTCGGCAGTCAAACGGGCGCGATACGTACCCTTACGCTACCACTGCAGCAAGACGTGATCGCACAAACTTTCATATACGGTACGGTACCCTCGTCCGCTGCACAACACATCAACTCACTGCAACAACAGGAGCTGCAATTGCAACATCGCTATCATCAGCTGCAACAATTGCAGGCCCAGACACAGGGTCTCTTCCTAAATACGAACGCCCCGGGTACAGTTGCAGCTGCGGCTGCTGCAGCTGCCGTGGCGCAAGGTGGTACACCCTTTGTAGTAGGCACACCGCCACAACTTTACACCAACACGCCCACAGCGGCGGCTGAGTTTTGTGCAGCGCAACAACAAAAATTGCTAAGGGATCAAATGCAAGGACTTTGTATAGCGGGCGGTGCGGCTGCCACGCCCAATGCCAACGCGGTACCGGCGGCATCGACGACCATAAACTCGCTGCTCGACTCCTCACCCACAATGAATATACTCAATAATAGTTATGTGCCAACGACGCCGCAAGAGGAACGCTTCATGCAGATTATTCAGGCGAAAGAGATGAAAATACAGGAAATGCAACGCGCGCTGCAGCAAAAGGATACGGAGATCGCCGAGCTGAAATCGCATCTGGATAAATTTCAAAGTGTATTTCCATTTAGTCGTCATGCCAGTACGGCCACCACACCGGGCGCTGGAGTGCAGCAGCAGCGGAAGAGTGGTCAGGCTTATCAGCGACAGCGGGCGCAAGGCATTTCGGCGGAACCGCAAAGTGAATCTTCAGTTTTGTTGGAGCCAGGCGCGTTGCCGAAATACGATAAGGATGAGAGGTGAGTGGAGATGTGAATGTTATATAAAAGATATAGTTTGAGTACTCTCCTGAGTTTGAGACTGTTTTTAAGTGAAATTTATTAGAACTAAGATTTTTATGTGGAACTGAATGATGAATACATTGTGGCACTAATTTAACACTTGTGACTCGATATGCCTTCGTCCACAACCCGGATGTGCATAGATATGTCTGCGTCGAAATTTTTTTGTTATGGTAAAGATGTTGACAATTGTCAATTCTGGTAACTATCTTGAAAGATCTTTACTGACTAATTGAAAGATCTGCTAACGAGGAGGTCTTAGCGTTATTTTGTTTGTCCTTTAGTAATAACTTTTTAAAAAATTAAATTGAGTCCCAAAAAAATTAAAAAGAAACTAATAAATAAAAGAAAATTAAATTAAAAAAAAAAATAAATAAATAAAATAGAAACTAAATGAGTTAACAAAAAATCTTTTTAAAACAACATGATCTAAAAATTAAATTAGAAAACCATAAAAATTAAATGAAAAAGAAAGAAAATAGGACTTACAAATTGAATAAAATTAAAAAAAAAAAACAATATTTATATTTTTAAACAAATCTAAAAATTAAAAGAAAATTAAATTTAAAAAGGTAAAAAATAAAATAAAGAAAAATAAAAAAGATATAAATATTTTTCCTTTTTAAAACAATAACATCTAAAAATTAAAAGAACATGAAAGCAAAAAAAAAGTTAATTAAAAAAAATAAATAAAATAGGTTTCTAAAAATTCAATGTAATAAAAAAAATTTTAACAATAATGTCTAAAACTTAAAAGAAAATTAAAATACTTAAAAAAAGTGCTATTTAAAAAAGAAAGAAAAAAAAGTATATCCTTTTATTTTTTTTATTACTAAATGCGTCGTCTGATTGAATTTGTTAGAGCGTCCTCCACATCTTGAGCCACAGTGGTGATATGCTGTAATAGTTGTTTAACTACCCCTTGATCGCACATCAGTCAAGTATAAGTTACCGTAACCAGACTTATTTCCCTGTTTTTCCTCTCCCCCTTTTTTACTACGACCGTTTTTGGGTATGGACTGAAATAACTTCTCCCGTTTCCCGACTCCTTTGAGAAGTGTCGCCAGTTGTTCATTCAAGGTACATCCTTCTGCAGTTGCCCTTCTATTGCTGTCGTAGGCGCACTTGCTTACGTTGTGTACCAATATTGTCTGGTCCCAGTCGATCGAAGGATCTTCTCACCGGCGCATCATCATCCAGACATAGGACATGTTGAACGCAGCGAAATTGTTCTTGTCATGCTCATGAAGTTCCTCATTCCATCTTCTTTGATACCCTTCCAACACGCAAACAGGACCATAGATCTTGCGTTAGATTGATCACTCAAAAGTCGCCAAAGCCCTCCCATCTTTATTCGATATCGACCACGTTTCTGTCCCACTTAAAAAGGACGGGCACGAAAAGAAATTTTTAAAGTGATATTTTTACCCATCGACTGAGTGTTCTGCTTTTCAATTGCCTACTAAGCATAAAAAAGCACTGGTTGGCTAGAGTTACGCTGCACTTGATTTCCAGCCTGGCATTATTGGTTGTGTTACTGTTGGGTTCTAAGTAAACAAAGTTCTTCACTACTCCACAATTGTTGCAATTGCCAACTGTGACATTTGACCCAATAAGCGAAGGCTCTTTGTGTGTTGCCAGAAGTTAAGTTGTCTCTTCCTCGTTCACCGCTAGCCCAAACTAATTTTCCTTCTTCTCTAAGATGGAAAATACTGCGCTCACGGACTTGGTGTTGTCACCGGCGATGTCTAAATCATCTGCAGCAGCATCGACAAGGAGTTGCTTTGTCTAAAACCTCGTTTAGTCTCTAACTGCGCGGAGACACCGACCCAGCCTGGACACCGAAACGGTCTAATATACATATTGATTTCTTTTAATATATTCTTTACATTTTCCACAGACTTGTGATATGCAGATTAACTGTGGGATTCTTAAAATTATTTCGTATTTCGTTTTTAAGATAGATTTAAACAAATTCTATCGTGGCCAGCTGTCACCTTATTATTTGTGGTATATCACAAGAGCGGTTAGTTTCGTAATTTTATTAGTCGCTTAATAGCCACATGTGGGCGTTGTTAACAAAATGCGCCAAGTTCTTTATTTATTTGTTAGTTTTTGTTTTATTTACTTTTTTGTGCGTTTATTTTTAAACATCTTTTTCCACAATTTCCGCAAGAAAAGCAACGTGCGAGGAGAAAACATATATCTATAGTATGTCCAAGTACATGTGAATATGTTCATTTATATGTACACTGGGGTGGGTTAATTTTGTGTGGAATGATTTTTTCGACATCCTTCCTAAAAAAATTAGATTCTACATAGAATTCTAAGAAGAAAAGTCTACCAACCAAATTTTAAAACTTGCTTGAGAAAACGGCTCTTAGTTTGATTTAAATATAAAAAAAATTAAATACAGTTTTTTTCTTATTACAATAATAAAAAGTTCTTTAAGTAAAAATGGATATCAAACATAAATTCGACTTCTCCAAACCATACTATGCTAAGTCTGCCTAAATCGTTGATGACTTAGCATGGTACGGTTTGGAGGTATTGAATTCTTCTTACCAAAAACTCTCAAGTACAAGTTTGTATTAAAATAATAACATCCCTAATACTTAAGTAAATATTAACCTACTATTAATTAAAGATAGCTTCTTTTAAAATTTTGGCGTAAAAAACTAACTTCAGAGCTTTGTTCTAATGGCTTTTTTTCCTTAGAATTATATGTTTAATCCGAAACTGAAAAAATAACCCGCCCTAATGTACATACATACGTATATATTGCACAATATGTACATTAGGGTGGTCCAATTTTTTTCCAGCCATCTCCAGAACTAAAGTATATCGAAAATAAGGCACTTTTCTTTTTGAATTCGGTTAATATTTAGCTTTATTGATTTTAAACAATTTCATATGGGGAAAATAAATGTTTTCGTAGAATTTCCATAAAGTCGTTAAAAATAAAAAGTTTTAGGGCCGTATGAATGAAAATTAAGCAATTGGTTTTTCTTTAAAATTCAGACCTTTTAATTAAATTTATTTGAATAAATCGAGTAAATGTTCTAACATTTTAAGAAAAAGCAAAATCGATTATTAAAAATATTACGCTTCAGAAATCTTCAATTAATGAAATTAGCTTGCATATTTAACTTGAAAATGGTTCGCACTAATTTTTCATAACCCATAAACTCATCTCTTATTTAAAATACATAGTTATTTTATGTCTTCTTAATCACGTCACGCACGTTAAAAAAATAGTTAATAAAATTTTAGAATTAAACGCTATTCATGCTTTTTTTGTTGGAAGATTTCTGAGAGGAAATAATTCATTTTATTAAAAAATACTAATTTGTAAAAATTTTATGATAATCTTTTTCCCATATGAAATGTATGGAAAACTTCAAAGGCCCGGCGCATAGTGGGCGAAACCCCGTGGTCAAAATAAAATACCTCCTATTGAAATTAACTATTTTGGGTATTTTTTTAATTAAACATACATATATTTCAAGGAAAGATTTTGTAAACAAAATTTAAAATAAAATTTAAATAAAAATTTGGAATTTTCCTTTTTATAGCCATCAGGTATTGACTCGCTGACGAGTGACCCATCAAATGGTTGCCAAAAAAAGTTCTACGCTTTTTGTTGTTGTTGGCGGATATATTTATATGTCTTCTAGTAGAAAGTGTGTGGTTTTTTTATGTACACAATTTGTAAATAATTATTTTTTCAAAAAATACTCGCACATATCTGATTTTAACTAAATACCCTATAAATATTTGTGCTACATATATTCATTAGTTTCCTTTTGAAAAAAAAAAATACCCTGCTAATTTTAATAGCTCAATAATGTTGCTGACTAGACTCATTAGCATTTTTTCGTAATTCTTTAGAAGAACGCTTTCGAAATGCATAAAAGAGCACTAAAACAATTATTTAGTTTTGCTTTTCTTTTTTTTATGATTAAATTTTCGAAACAAATTTTTTTGAACTTCAAAATTAACGCCATTAATTGGGCCAACACCGCGAATGTCTTAATAAATTTTCCAAAAATATATATATATTAGGCCGGGTCGATTTGTGGGGAGGCAAAAAAATCGTCCATTGCTCTTTGAAAATCATATTCTAGGGATCAAAATAAGAAACTTTGCCGAAGGAACCATACCTCTAAAACGAATTCTGATGTCCCCCAATTTGGGTCGAACTTTTGGGTAGGGGCAAATTTTGAAAAATCCCACTTTGACCCATTTAGAGTGCTCCAATCGAGTCCAAATGTATGACCGACCCCCACTAACTTTGGAGGCCCAATCCACCGATGCCAGTGGCACACCCCCTGGAACCCCCCTGGGGGTTCACCATACAAACATTTCAAAAAATCGCCGGTTTTGCACTTTACATGAAAAAATCAGCGAAATGCCTATGTTTTTTTCTTTTTGGAGTTTATTTTTCTCTTTAGAAATATATTTAGTCAGAACATATGTAAATGAAAAAATGAATTTAACTTAGTAATAGTCGTAAACTTACTTGTGTAGTTTTTTTATAGCACCTACTTTTACAACCCTTTTTGTGGTTATTTTAAGGCACCTTCTTAAGAAATGCGCGTTTTTTGCAACCATTTTAACAATTAAGGTATCACTGGAATGCACCGCAACCCTTTTAAACAATGAAGGTATCACTGTGACACAATTGCAGATCGTAAAATTGCTTGTGTTGTTTTTTTAAGCCACCACAAGACACAGCAGGTAGAATTGAAATTACCATTTCATTCTTATTACCTCGTCTCGTAGACCATATATAACGCAACAGTTTTTGTGAATGCATTAAGTCGTTGTGAAGAACTCAAAGTGTGAAGTGCTAATTTCAGATAAAAAAATATTTCAAAAAAAATAATAAGTGAAGTGACCATTCCAAATCAAAAAGTTTACAATGAATCCACCATCCTCTACACCGCAAGATGAAGCAACTAAACAACAA